TTTGCTTAAAAAGTTTATTACCTTATATAGAAAAACAAATTGGTTTGTTAAATGATGTAATTTCAAATAAAAAAGGTGTTAGTAGATCACTTTTTAGTGCTACAAGACGATGGTTTGGAACAAATAAACCCGGAATACCAGGACCTACTCCTTCAAATGCTGTAATGTATGTTTATTATTATTTATTATTATATTTATATTATTATATTTTTTATATTATATAATAATAAATTAATATTAAATAAAAATAAAATATGTAATATTAAATAAATATATAAAGTTTTAGCTTGTTTGGATTTCAGTTATACAACAGAATCTCCAGAATTACAATTGCGTCGCTTAGGTGATTTATGTTTTATGTTTGGTCACTATTCACTTGCTTACCAAACATATCATAGTGCAAAAAGAGATTTTGCAGCAGATCAAGCTTGGCTTTATTATGCAGGTGCTCTTGAAATGGCTGCTTTAAGTGCATTCATGCAAGGTGAAACTAATAGAAAGACTATTGAATATATGGATGATGCAATATTAACTTATTCAACTACTTGCAAAATGCCTCAATTTGCAACAAGAGCAACGTTACTCAGTGCAGAATGTTTAAAAGGTAGAAATTTATATGGAGAGGCTGCTAAGCAGTTAATTCGTATGACTAGTGAAGATTCAGATTTGCGTTCTGCACTCTTATTAGAACAAGCTGCTTATTGTTTTATTGGACCAAAAATGGTGCGCAAGTATGCATTTCATGCTGTTCTTGCTGGTCATCGATTTTCAAAAGCAGGTCAAAGAAAACATTCTTTACGATGTTATCAACAAGCATACCAAGTATATTTAATTGATTTCCAATATTCTTTTATTATGTTAAATAAATAAATTGTTTACATTTATATTTTTTCTTAGATATACAATGAAAGAGGTTGGTCATTAGCTGAAGATCATATACATTTTACAATTGGTAGACAAGCTGCATCATTGAAACAAGTTAGTGAAGCAGTAAAAGCATTTCAAAAATTACTCAATGCTTATAGTAAACAACCAGGTATACAACAAGCTGCATTTTTACGTGAATTTTTACATATCTATAATGTATGTATAAGTTTATATATTATTATTTATTTATATTATTATTATACATATTCTTAATTTCATAATATTTCTGTATATATATAATTGATTGTCATATTAATTACATATTATAGTTACTGTTGCAGGAAGGTTTATCAAATCGTCATGAGCTTCCTATCTTGCCTTTGCCATTAATAGATAGTAATGATATTAAAGTACTTTTTGGTCCTATAGCTAAATCATATGAAAATAATATTCCAGCAAGTCATGTTTCATTTAATACTGAAGACTGTGATGATGTAAGATGGTCAAAAATGGAAGAAATGTTAATAACAGAAGCTCAGGGATCTCCTCCTATGATATTCAAACCTACAATTGCATTATATTCTAAAACAAGTAATAATAGCGTAAAACCAAATGCAGTTTTAAATGAACCAGTGCATTTTTTTATTGAATTATATAATCCATTACACATACCATTACCATTGTCCAACTTAACTCTGTTATGGTCATTTACGTCCTCCAATGGACAAATTACGAATGAAATGAAATCATCAGAAAATTTACAATTAGTGGAAACACAAGCAATCGAAAAAATTATTTTACAACCTATTACCAAGCAAGGCATTATACTATATCTTATACCAAAAAAAATAGGCGAATTAAAAGTATTAGGTGTAAGCTATGATTTATCTAATCCAACTCATATAATAGATCCACCAATTATTAATCCAACAATAGCTATTACTGGAAAAAGATTATTTGAAATTAAAGGACCTAGATTAAAAAATATTAAAGAAAAACCTGGTACAAATATATATGGGGTAGATTATAGATTAGAAATGAATATTATTGAAAAAGCTCCCTTTATGCAGGTATTAAATATTCAAATACAATTATATATAAAGTATTTAAAATTGTGTATTATATTGATACAATGTAGTTAACAAAAATTTACTTTTAGATTTTCTTTAGTAAATTATCTTCAGAAATGTTATGTGGTGAAATTCAAAAAATAGATATTATATTGAAAAATGTGGGTAATTCGTCACTAACAAATATTTTTTTGGCATCTACAAATGCTAAACTTTTTTCATTAGGAGATGAGCATATAAATATACAAGAAAGTAAATATAATTTACATATTTCATTCAATAATTAAAATAATTGAATACCAATATTATATTAGTATTTTACTCATGATTTCAGAACATATGACAAAAAGAAATAATAGACTCATATTAAAAATTCCATTATCTTCTAATAATAATATATTAAATATTGGAGAAACACATACAATACCATTTTGGATTCGAGCACCTCATGAAAAGGGAATTCATTATTTAGATTTACTCTTTTATTATGAAAATATTGATCCAAAAAGCATGATGAAATATCGACTGTGTAGACATACTTGGCATTTTACAGTTTTGGATTCTATACAAATTAGCTCAATTGCTTCAAGAAGTACATTATTTAAAGATATTTCGCCTACATTAAACTTAATAATATGCATTAAAAATGCAAATCAAATTCATGATTTAATTACGAATGAAATTTTGTTGTACAAAGTATTGTTTCAAAGTGATACTTGGTCTATATTTGATTTATCCATTTTATCAACAAATATTAAGATACAGACTCAAGAAGTATTTCATTTGATGTTAAAATTAAGAAAAAAAAAACAAAATGAATCTAAGTTTTCTGATATATCTTTAATTCAAGAAAATGATTACATTGAATCAGATATAAATTATCCATACATAGATTTTATACAAAGAAAGGATATTCCATCATTAGATATCAATGAAAATATAACTGAAATACAACAATGTCAACGATTATCACAAAGTATAGAACAAAAGCCTTTATTTGCTACTATGACATTAAATTCTACTTTAATTCTTAAATGGCGAGCAAAGATAATTAAAAATGGAATTATTACAAAACAAGCAATTGGTCAACATCATCTTGATATACAATATTTAAATAAAACTTACAAACATCCAAAAGAAGTTCAAATTGAATCAAATGAAGATGCTGGTCGTTTGAAGATTTTTGGACCTGATAGAAATATACTCGATTCTTTGGCTGTAATTAATAAAGAACAAGCATCAGAATCAGAATTTTTAAAAAATATAATTTCTTTTTCTTTAAATCATGATAGAGAAATCAAGCATAATTTTCATCAAAATCGATTGTGTTTCCTTCCAGTAATAATGTATATACAGAATCATTTAGAATCAAAAATTGATATTAAAATCAATACAATAGGTACTAGCAGGTAAAATATTTATTAAAAATAATTTAAAAAAATTTATATATATATATTATTTATTAATTTATTAATTTATCTTATATTTTTTTAGTGAAAGTCATCTTCCAAATATAAAATCACAATTATATTCTCCACAAGCTTCTACATATTATAGATATGCTTGCCATTCAGCAATTTGTTCTCATGTAGAACCAATGATGAGCAATACTGTAAAATTACAAGCTGTATTTTCAACCCCTGGAACATATGATCTAGCAGCACGTATAGAAATTTCTGCAAGAATTGTAAATACTAGAGAATTTATTTTGCAGAAATGGAAAATGGAAAGCATATGTATTATTAATAGTGATAGTAAATAATTAAAAAAAAAATAGAGATATAATAATTATTATTATTATTATTGTTATTATTATTCTGTTACTATTATTATTACTATTACTATTACTAGTATTCTGCTTTTAATATATCTAGTATCATTACTATTAGTAAATAATATAATAAATTTTGTTTATGTAACTTAAAATCACTTTCATATTATGTACATATATAATATTTATCAAATTATTACATTTTGAAAATAGAATATATATTATTTAATATGCATTTCATTTTCTAATGAGTAAAACTATGTTTTTAAAAATATATTATTAATTGCTTGTTACAATATATACAATATATAATATAATATATAATAGTAGCTATTCTAGATAGAATAGCAATCTATAAAAAAATTATTGTAAATTACATTCTTATAAATTAATATAAAAATATGATGCTCAGTTGTAATTTATCACATAAATTTTAAAACTATAATAAGAAAATTGTATCATATTTTTTGGACCAGCATTTCATATTTTTCAAATCAAAAAGAAAACTATAGTTACGAAATGCTGTAAAAAATAAATGATTATAAATAAACAATAAATTTCTTACAATAAAAGTTAATCTCCTTATACAAAAACATAGTATAATGTCTATGCAGTACTGTAATTAAATATAAAAATATATGTTTAAAAAAAATATAAAAATAAATGTTTAAAAAATAATTATATTATGAATTTATTATATTATAAAGTTGTATGATATTTCAATAGATATTTAATATTTATTATATATCAAGAACACAATATATATATATAATATGTATAATATAACAATAGGATAAAATACTTTTATATAAAGAAATATTATTATATAAAAAAAAATAAATTGCAATTCGCATCATAAATATATATATTAATAATATAATAATATTTTTAATACAATGTTTAATATTTTACATTTTGTATATCTTTTTAATTTTATTTGAATAATGAAGTATAAGAATTAACTTATAATATATTTTTTATTTAATCAAATATAATATTTAATATGAGAAATATTAATTTTATTAATTTATTAATAACTGAGTATTAAGCATTGATAATAATAAATAAGTGATAAAATAAATAAGTAAAAGAAATAAATATTGTATAAATATATTAAAATTATTGAAATTAAAATTGCAATAATTATATTTTTCTATTTATATAAGAATTATAAATTACTTTTTATTAGTTTTTTATTTTATATATTGAAATAAAATAACTTTCTTAAATTATAATCTAATAATAATCTAGTAATAAATATATAATAATTTGTAAATTTTATTATTCATAAATATGCGTTTCGCAATCAATAATTGCGATAAGATCAATTTATATAGTACAATAATATATTCAACATTGTTTAAAAAAAAAACAAAAATTATGAAATTAATTTTTCAAAAAATTATAATAATTTATAATAATAATTTAATTTTTGTAAGTACGACTATGCTGATTTCCATATGCATATTGCTAAATTTCCAGCACAGTACATATATAATAGATGTTTAAGTTGATAAGTTATTTCAAATCCGTAGCCTTCACCAACAACTGTATGCCATGACGCACCGAATTTTTTATCCATTGTTTCCTTGATCATTCGCGAAACACTTTCATAATTATCCGCATATTTTTCCGCCGCAGTGACGCATAATTCCATAGCTTCTTGTTTCATTTCATCTGACATATCACATTTCTAAAACATACATATTAAATATATAATATTATCATAAAATAAATAATATAATAATTTTAAAAAGTATTTATTATTATTAATATTAATATGATAAATTTTATTCAAATAATATAACATAAATAAAATTTTAATTATGTTGTTCCATTATAATTTAATTATATATTGTCCTTTTAAATTTTTTTTTATAAATCAAATTGTTTAAATTTATATTTAAACGACAATATATAGATATAACTTTAAAATGATCATAATGATAAAAAATTATGATATTAAAAATGATTATTTGAAATTTAATAAAATTAAATTATATAAATATCATTTTTCATATAATGACTTTTTCTATTGATTAAATATTAATTAAAGAAACCAAACTTATTTTTTTTTCCAATATATTTAATATATTTTATATATATAAATTATATTTTACTTACTCTACAAAGAGGATACGTATGTAATATTTTAATGACATCATCTTTTTTTACTTCAGTCATTTCAAAATAAAAATTTCATAAATATCGTATCAAATATTATTCTTCTTTAAAAGACACTGAGGATATTGCCATCTTACAGGCGCATACTTACCCCCTAAACCAATATAGATAACTTGCGTCTGTTATATGGTGAGAAAATCATGGTTAAGTACATAAAGTTCATAAATTAAATCTGAGAAATTTAGGATTTTTATAGGCTTAAATATATATTCAGACGTACTTGAATTAGTACAAAATAAAATATTTTTTAAATATTTTCTTTTAAATTTTATAAATTTTAATTTATTAAATTAATATGAATGTTTAAATAAGGTTTTTGAATAAAAATTCATATAAAAATTAGATACGTAATTATTTCTAATAGTATATAATTATTTTAGTGAAATTGTAGTATTTTTATATACATTTAATATTTATTTTCTACTTTTAATTATTTTTTAGAATTTATTTTAAAAATTTTGCTCAGATTTTAGCTTATATTTATGCTTATAATATATTAATATAATAAAGAAGTATGCGTATAATTATTTTTATGTAACATTATTTTTATATTTTTATATTTTTATGTTTTATATTATTATTTTTATATAATATTTAAAATCACTATTTTTAATAATATTTTACTTATTAAAATATAAAACTTTATTTTTTATGTATATATTTCAAATAAATTAGTATTTTTTTTCAAAAATTCAGTGGATCAATACTGATTTAACTTAATATTGATTGAAACTTTTATTTTAATATTAAATGATTTAAATTTATAAATTTCTGTAATCATTGAAAATAAGGTTATATTTAAAATTAGATTGATTATTAAATTAAAAGAATTTAATATTTAAAACACAAATAAAATTAATGTTTATCATATTGTTATATTCATTATATAATATAATAATATAAGTAATATAATAAATAATAAATTATATAATTATTGATATATCAAAAACATTTTAAATTTACTTATTTATTAAATAAGAATATTTATATGCAATTTTATATTTACTTTATCTAAAATAATTATGTATTTTATTTTAATTATTTTAAAGAATGTATTTGAGATATTATTTAATTATAGAAGTTAAACTATTAACTATTTAATTATATTATTTAATTTTATAATAATTCAAGTGCAAATACTTTTTTCAGATAAAATGGCATCGCGATTTAGTGGAGCATTACAAATTACAAATTTGGATGATTTCATTACTCCTTCTCAAGTATTTTATCATTTTAGTCTCAATAATTAGCAATAATTTTTACGAAATTTTCTTTGTAGGAATGTATAAAACCTATAGAAATTCAAGCATTAAAGAGTAAAACTGGGGCAAAAATAAAAATTAAGGAAGATGAAACACCTATAGCATTAAATGAAGTAAATTAATTATATTTATTTATATATTTAATATTTATTTAAATTATATATATATTTAAATAAATTTAATTAAAATTACAAATTTAAAAAATTTTTAAGATTATAATTTATTTTATAATTCATTTTTTATATGTTTAGACTGGACAATTTAAAAAATTAGAAAAAGTTGAAATTACACTTGCTGATTGTTTAGCTTGTAGTGGTTGTATAACATCTGCAGAAAGTATATTAGTTACACAGCAAAGTCAAGAAGAATTAATGCGAGTATTTAGAGAAAAAACTTCTCAATATCAGGTAATGATTATTAAAATAACACAGACTACTATAAACTAATTAAATATCAAAAATCTGTATTTTTTAATATATATTTTATAGAATAGAGATGGTATAAGCTCAACATTTATTGTAGTTAGTCTTTCGGTGCAAGCAGTATTATCCATAGCAGAACATTATAATCTTAATTCAGAACAAGCACTAAATAAACTTGCAGGATATTTTTATCAGTTAGGAACAGATATAGTTTTAGATATGACTGTGGCTGATGATTTTGCTCTCTTAGAATCTGCTAAAGAATTTATACAACGTTACAGAGCAAATAAAGATGGTGCAAAAAATCAATTGCCCATGTTATCTTCTTCCTGTCCAGGTAACTAATAATATAATATGTTTTCATAAATAATTCTTTTCAATATATAAAGTACCCAAATATAATTTTTAAATTAATATAAATAATTTAATATTTTTTCTTGTAGAGATTGAAAATACATAAATTAATCTATTTAAAACTATATTATTTTTTAAAAAAAATACAATTACAATGGTTGGTTTTTTATATAAATAAAAAATTCTTTTTTCTAATTTAATTAATTCTATTAATTAATGTATCATTTCATTTCTATTCTTTCATATAATATAAGACTATACATTTATTCAAAATACAAAAATTTTTATTACTTTTTATATAATTTTAAATTAAAGGTTATTCTTATTCTTGCTATTCTCATATATTTTTTTTTTTTATATAAAAATGTAAAAAATTTCCAGAATATGCATTAAAAATTAATTTTGTTTCATGATATTTTTATCTATTTTTATTATTTTGAAAATATAACTTATCATATTTGCTTAGAAAATTCTGGATAATAAAATAATCATTTAAAACTAACATTATTTATTAGCTTCAATTTATAGTGGAAGATAAGTAAAAATTTTTGTTACATTATTTTATTAAATCCAAAAATTTTGATTTTGAATAAAAATTTATTATAAATAGAACATAATGATTTATATAAAGATATATATATAGAGAGAGAAATTATATATATATATTTTGTTAGAAAAAAAAATTGCAGAAAATTTTGTTAAGAAATTAAAGTCAATTTTCTTAAAGTCACAATATTTTGTCAAAAAATATAATTTTACAGAAATTTTTTCTATAATAAAATGATAAAGCAGTAAATTCTGAATATTTAACATTTTACTCTATCTCATACTATTACAAAATTATATTAAATTATATTAAAAAATTATATTAAAAAAACAAGAAATGTATTGAATTTTTATTTAATTTTCTTAAAATGATATTTGTAAAAGTTGTTTCATATATAATTATATTTTATATACTTACGTTAAAAATGAAAAATTTATAAAAAAATTAAAAAATTAAAACTAAAATTTTTATTTATATTTAATCAAATTTAAAGGAAGTTAAATTAATACTCAAAGTTTCAGCATTTTAAAATTTTATATTTAATAGTATAATTTAATAGTACAAGATAAAGCAAAATTTTGTTTTATCTTTAAAATTTAATATTGAAACTTTGAAGATTGATTTCAGTTTTTTAAAGAGACTTTCTCTTGATAAGACACATTTTTTAGATTAGATAAATTTACTTAAAAAAATAATATAAAAAAAGTACTTTTCTTCTTCATTCTGTTTTTAAATATAATGCTTTTAAATATAGGTTGGGTATGCTATGCTGAGAAAACACATGGTAATTTTATACTTCCATATATAAGTGTTACAAAATCTCCTCAACAAATTATGGGATCATTAGTTAAATATCATTTAGCTGAAATTATGGATCTTTCACCAGAACAAATTTATCACATAACTGTTATGCCTTGTTATGATAAAAAATTGGAAGCATCCAGAGAAGATTTTTATAATCATGAAATAAAATCTAGAGATGTAGATTGTGTTATAACTCCAAGTAAGTATTATCAATTTCAAAACTTAAAAAAAAATATTCATTTATATTTATTTTTCTTTAATTGAAACAAAAATAATTAAATTTACTTTTTTTTTTAGTTGAAATAGAGCAAATGTTTAATGAATATAATGTAATATTAAATGAAATAAAAATTGAAAAAAAAATTCAAAGAATATTTGAATCAAAAATGAAATATTTGAAAAACGATTTATATGGTCATAGTGGTTCAGGATCCGGAGGTTATGCCGAATTTATTCTTCGTTATGCTGCAAAATATCTATTCAATGAAACAGACATAATAATTGAATTTAAAAGTCTTAGGAATCCCGATTTTCAAGAAGCAGTCTTTCAAAAAGATGGTCAGACACTTTTAACATTTGCAATTGTTAATGGATTTAGAAATATACAAAATCTTGTACAAAAATTGAAGCGTGAAAAATGTATATATGATTATGTTGAAGTTATGGCATGTCCCTGTGGTAAGTTTTGTTTACAAACTATATAATATAATATTATATTATAATAATAAATTTTTATTCAAATTATACATAAATTGCTAGGATGTCTTAATGGAGGAGCACAAATTAGACCTTTAAATAATGTTCAATCACGCGAACTGGCATTAAAATTAGAATCTATGTATCGAGAACTTCCTCAAAGTAATCCTGAACAAAATCTAATAGTGAAAAATTTATACAAAAATTGGTTAGGAGGAGAATGTACAGCCAAAGCTTTAGCATATTTTCATACTCAATATCATGAAATAAAAAAAATAGATACTGCTCTTGCTATAAAATGGTAATTTATGGTAAATATATATTATTATTAGTTTAAATTAGAATTTTTAAATACAATTAATATCAAATTAATATATTATTTAAAACATAGTTTTTGTGATTAGATGTATATTTATTATATTACTATTATTCATATATTAAAAAACTTTGTTGGATATATTCATTAAAGAATATAAAAGATAAATTTTTAATAAATATTTATATCTTTTATAAAAAAAATAATTTAATAATATAAATTATGTAAATATAAATTTTATTATATAGAGTGTCTCATTTAATATAAATTATCTAATTATAAGAATATAAAAGAAATTTCATATATAATTTAAATAATGTAAAGGTAATGTAAAAAGATAAATATTTTAAATATTATTAATAAATATTGTAAGAAATAATTATTATGCTTATGTTTTTTAAAATTTATCATTAAATCATTTTTTTCTTCTTATATATTATATTTTTTTCTTTTATATAATATACAAAAGAAACAATATTTTTATTGATTTCAAAACTTAAAAATAAATATGAAATTTATTAAAGATTAATATTTTTTACAGTATATCTTTTTTTTTACATTAAATTGCATAATAATTTTTTGTATTAATAATACAATTAAAAAAGATATTTAGATGATCAATATTTAAGATGAATATCTAATATATGTAAATATAAATATAAATAAATAATAATAAAAATTATATTTGTTATTTAAGTAACAAATTTATTAAATATAAATATTTCATAAAACTAAAACATATAACATAATGAACAAAAAGTATAGTAGTATATTCTTAAGTATATTCTTTTAAAATAACAATCATATAACTAAGTATTTTAAATATGTTATTAAAATACAATAAATATAAAAAAGTAACATTGATTGATTAATTAATTTTTATGATATTTATATTGTAATATATATGCTGAAAGTATAAAAGATTGTCTTTTACAATTATTCATTTATTTCAATAATCTAATATGACTAGTAATAAATTTTAAGAAAAAATAAAACTTTTGGAAAAAGAAAATATTAGAATATTTTTTTCTTTAACAGCATATAGTATAATAAAATGTAATAATATTATAATTTTATAATATTATATTTTCTATAATTCTAATTTATTTATCTATAAAACGATAAATTATCTTCATTTTCGCAATTAAATATTAATTAAAAAAAAATAATATACTATGTACAGTAAACAAATATATTAAATTAAAGAAATATATTTTTAATAATACTGATAAAATAATTTTAAAATATAACTATTATCAAATATAAATATTATATTAAAATATAAGTAAATATTAAATTAATATCGGAAATATATCTTGATTTCAAATACAAATAATCGTAAATAAAATATTTATAAATCAAATAACAGTATTATATATGTAATTTATGATATATGCAATAGTTTTTTATCATATATGTATAATAATAACCTCAATTCTCAATATATTAATTTATTATTATATAAGATATTATTCGTGAGATATATTTAGAAGATCGATTCTAGAAAAAATAAATACAAAAATTCTCAGATATATTTAGATATATTTTCAGTTTAGATATATTTATTAAGTCATAATCAATTTAAATTTACATTAAATCAAGCAAAGAACAGAATGTGATGGCGATATAACAAAAATAAAAACGGTTTCATTCTATTTCCATTTTGCTTTGTCTAACATTTTAGAATTGATCTTCTAAAGATGCTTTAAAAATACATAAATATCTTACATATAATGAATCTAATACATAACATTTTCATAAAGATGTCCTTTAAAGTTTTTCACGAATATGTTAATACTTTATATATAATGAACTAATACATAACATTTTTATAAAAAATCTAGATAATAATTAGCAACATGTGTATTCATAATTGAGTCATTATATCTTTATCATGATAAAATTTTCTTCATATTTATAAATATGTTATAAAGATGAATTTAAAAACATAATTACACATATTTTAATCAAACAATTATACAGATATTAACTCAAGTTATAATAAAAATAGTAAATGTTTTTGTTATGCAATATACATAATATATAAACTTTTATTTCCTTTTCAATTCCTTGAATATAGAACTTTTTTTTTTATCGAATGAACTATTGTCACTTTAATTTTTAATTTATTTTGGCCTGAACCATTGAAAATAATACATAGTTTAACTAAATTAGAAAACTTTAATTACCTAGAATTTTTATCATATAATGATTTTTCATTTTCATTCATTTCTATGGATTTTTTTTTTTTCAAATCAATTCCTGTATATCCATCTTCAATATACTTGATATCAGTATCATGATTTGCATTAATTCCTTCTTTATTTGCATATGTATTTATTAACCATCCTTGATTATTATCTATTTCTTTTGATACAACAAGAAATAATTCTTTTTCCTTACTATCTATTTGGTCCTTTAGATATCTAAGTAAATCATTTTCCTAATACATATTACAATACAATTAAAACATATTAGCAAAATTTCTTGTTAAGATATATATATTGTATTTTTAAATATTAAAATCAAAATTTTAAATGAAACCTTTCCAATAAGTTGAGGAGAATCAAGTTTTGAATCAAGATTATAAAAGGCACCATGAATTTTCTTCAGGGCAATCCAATGTCGTCTTTTCAAAGGAAGTAATACAAATCCCAATTTATATTCTGTAGGTACATTTAATATAAAACCTTCAATATTATCTAAACATAGACATTTGGGATCTCTGAAAAAATTTCCAATTTTTCAATATATATTTAATATATACATTATATTACACATATAAACAATAATATAATACAGAAATATATATATATATAAAAACTAAATTTTCTTAGTTCTTATAAATTATAATGTATAATATAATATTATAATATAATATATAATATAATATATATAATATAATATAATATAATATTAATATAATGTATAATATAATTTATATATATATATGTATTATATATATGTGTTAATATAACATAATGTTTAAATACATTATACAATATTGTCAAATTAAACAAACCTGCGTTTATCAAACCAAACTGCTTCACGTCCTCTTTGTTGTAATGCTGCCATAATAACATTAATATCATAATTACCAAGACCTAATAATGATTTATGAGGATTAATCCACACATCTGGACTTAAGCTATAACAAATTTGATCTAATTCTTGTTTACTAAATCGTCTTTCTTGAAATAAATTATTTAATGCATGTAATGCACAAAGCTCTTTCACCTATAAGAATAATAATCATGTAGATATAAATATCTAATATATACAATATTATGTTATTCAGAAATAATAATATATAAATATATTATTGTATATATTATTATATATACAATTATGTATTCATAATTAATAAAAATTTATTAATTTTGTGTATATATATTATTGTAATATAATTGTTCCATTATTAATTGAGAACATAAAATTCTTAATAATTACTTGTCTTTCATGATATATGGATCCAGTCATATCAGCTGTTATATTCGTAACCATTTTATCTACATAATTTTTATCATATATTATGTTAATTTAACATAATATATTTTAATAATATAATAAATTAATAATAAAATTAATAATATAATTTAACTAATTAATCATTTGCATCATTTATCAAAATCTTCTTCATATATAAAATTTAACATATTTATATTGCATTGATAACCTAATAACGTAAATATAATCTGCTATTTATTTAAATCTGATAGAAAATTATATTAAGTATCAAATAATTATTGTCAAAACTTAGTACAAACTTCAATAAAGAAGAAATACTGTCACTTCAGAATACAATTATAAAATAAATCAAAATTTATTTTTGGTAAGCATCAATATATGTATATGTATTATTCATTTACGTTCATTCATAACTGTATTTTATGATATATTTTGATAAAACATTTTCAATTATATGTTCTTTATATATAAACGCAAATATTAAACAGTAATACGCAGCAGATATAAAAATGATTTAAATATACTACCTTTATTTAAACTACTTTTCTGAAAAGATGATTGGATAGTTTTGAACTATTGATATTTCATTGATATTAAACTTGTAAAATTTATTTATTGTTTGAAGTTTGTATTTTAAAATCTGTATAATATAATTATTTTTTTTATTATATAAATATATTAATATTAATGAAAGAATAGCATACGTAATTAAATAATACAAACATATTTTAGTTAGTCTATAAAATATATTATATTCTATGGTTAAATAAAAACAACAATATACCTAATTTTACAAATAGGTATGTTTATTTAGAAATATTAAATATAAAAAACTATATTATTGATCAAATTTAATATATAAAATAAAATTTAATATATTCAATTAATTTCTGTTTTCAAAAAATATTTTTAAACACTGTACTTTAATTAAATTTAAAATGGAAATTGATTATAAACTTTTAAAAGAAATAGATTGTAAGCAAGGAGCTGTTAGAGCTGTACGATTTAGTGGTATGTATAGTTCTATTTTACTATTTTATTTTAAATAGTTTATAATTATTTTAATATTTAATAATTTTTTTTAATAGTTTATAATATTATGTTAATATTATAAACTTTTTTTATAATTTAATAATATTGATTAGATTTAATATTTTTTCAGTTGATGGTGCTTATTGTTTAACTTGTGGATCTGACAGGAAATTAAAATTATGGAATCCTTATAGAGGTGTTACTTTAAAAACATATGAGGGACATGGAAATGAGGTAATGGATAGTAGTGCATCTTGTGATAGTAGTCAAATAGTGTCTTGTGGATTAGATAAATCAGTTATTCTTTGGGATGTAGCAAGTGGAACTCCAATACGCCGTCTAAGAGGTCATGCAGGTCCTGTTAATACTGTAAGGTATATTATTATAAAATTATTATTCTCATATGCTTTTATAATAATTTATTTAAATAACATTTTTTTTTTGATATAGATTTAATGAAGAGTCATCTATGGTTATTTCTGGATCAAGAGATAATTTGGTTATGTTATGGGATATCCGTTCTAAAATGTTAGAACCTGTGCAATGTTTAAATGAAGCTAAAGATTCTATTTCTAGTGTTAGAATATCAAATCATGAAATTTTAACAGCTTCTTTTGATGGAAAAATACGCAGATATGATATTCGTGTAGGTGAAATATATGCAGATTATATAGGAGGTAAATTAATATATTAAAAATTCATAAAATGCAAAATAAAAATTGTCATTAAATTTATTATTACAGATGCAGTAATATGTGCAAGTTTTACAAGAGATGGTCAATGCATAGTAGTTAGTTCTGCTGATGGTATAATTAGATTAATAGATAAAGATTCAGGAGAATTACTTGGAGAATTTACAGGTCATGTGGTTAATAATTTATGCTTAGAATCAAATGTTGATAATCAAGATACTCGCATTATTTCTGGATCTGCAGATGGAAAATTGTGGATATGGGATTTGGTTTCTCAGAAAGTAGTTGCAAAACTTTCAGGATTTAAATCAACAAAACATCCTATGGTATCATTAAGTGTTCATCCACAAAGAAATTGTTTTTTAGCTACTAATGGATCAAATATATTAATGTGGACTATATCAGCATAAATATAGTATTTTTATAACAAGTTTATAATCATATATGTAATCATATATGTTTTTAAATATTATATTATTATATTATATTATATTATATTATAAAATATTATATTATAAAATTAAAAATTTATATATTATTATATAGTATTTATTAGTATTCATTTTATGTTAAAGAAAAATAAATTGTTGAAGAAAAGAAAATAAATATAAAATAATTGAAAAAAATTTGTATTTATAACATTTACAATATCTTATATTTATGAAAGTATAACTATTTTTTATCGTATATATTTTTTATTATACGATATTTAATATACGATAAAAATAATTTAATAATATATGTATAATACTATAATTTACTATATATAATTATTTTTATATATAATATTATTATAATTACTATTATAATCACTATTATAATTTATATATATATTACTATAATTTATAAGATCAAATACAAATTTTTGTTTGACTTTCAGAATAATAACAAGCCTTTTTTTAAATATTTTATTAAATACTACACATACATTTTTCATCTGTTTATTAAACAAATAAAATAGATAGAATAGATAGAATAGATAGATGTGGGTTAAATTAAGTTGGGTCATGATATACATTTAAAAAAATCAGATTGAGTACGTAAATAGTTTAACTTTAATACAGGAAAGAGAAAGAAATCAAGTAAAAAAGAACTGAGAGAATACTTGCGCGCGCAGGTGGCGCGATACCGGTGCGTCAGAATCAGTGGTCATCATTTCGCCCAGGAGAGGGAAAGAAAAAGAGAGAAAGAAGGAATAATTTTATAGAACAGAGAGAAATAGAATAACTGCGCAAGAGGAAGAAAATACAACGGATTCATATAACGAATGAAAAAGATAAAAGAAAAGAGGAACAAGAAATATACAACGAAAGATACGAAGGTGCTTATATACGGGGCGGGCCTGCCAGTCTCAACTTCGTGGAGTGTACTTTTTATTCTGTATTCAAATACGCAACTATTCTCAATTGTTAGTTGTTGCTATATATGAAAACTTGTGATTTATTCGATGCAGAATAAAAATTGTTGGATCGCGTGATCTTATTTGTAATCAATTAATAAATTGTGAGTGAAGATTGTTATTGTGAGTGAAGAGATTGTTATTGTTGATTGATCTCTTCGGCTTGCCGGCTATCAAAAATTAGAAAAACAACAATCGTAATATAAATAACAAGAAATAATTTTCAAAATTTTAGTGTCAGTGTTGGAGAGTGGTAGTGAATCAAGAAGACGAGTGTGCACAAAAAAGGATTATTATGGGGCGAAAGTGTCTACTTTTGACGCTGTATTTGCTGACTATATTCGGTTTTCTCGCAGCGAATGCTTTTTCTAACAGTGAGTGCCATTTTTCTATTCTATTGAATGGAAAAAAAGAAAATTAAATATCAATAAAAACATTATTATTCAAAATATATACAAGTTATGATATTGTTGATTATTAAAATGTGTATGGAATATGTCATGCGCTGATATATGCTTACATAATCGACATCATTCGCGTACATTTTTCATAAAAATTAAAAATTAGTTAATGTAAAACTAAATGAAGAATAGATAAAAAAAAATATCTGATGTATAATTCAGTATTTTTATGATCTTCATGAAAAGAATATTGATGATGTTAAGATGTATTACTCAAAAAATGGAGAAGATTGCGATAGATGGAAGCACGTGAAAATTTTGTTATATCGCGTTTCTCGTTTAATATCTAAAATTAATTTTTTTTTATTTATATAAAATTGAATTTCACAAAAAATTGAATTTTTAATATCAATTACTTATTTTTACATCTATTATTATAAATTGTTTATTTTTTTTTAATAAATTACTCAATTTTTTTTATATAATTTTTTAAAAATATTTTAAAAACGCGACATTTATATTTATTTATATTTATATTTATTTAATTAAAAATTTAATAGTTTTAAAGTCATAATAATATTTAAATAATATTATATATGCTAAATATATATAAATATTTTTTCTTCTAATAATAAATTATTATATTTTAAATTATATGAATAATAAATTTAACAAAAATAAGAAATTTTTATATATAATATTATAGTATTATATTTAATAGCATTTATACAGTATACAGTATACAGTAGTATGAATGCAGTACATCTATGCATATAGGCATTCATACAATTTTATATATATATATATATAAATTGAATCAGTGAAAAACTTTGCCGAAAATATCAAAAATAGGAATAAGAAGAAAAAATAGAAAATTTTTATTTCTGTTAGATAGAGACAATTTCTTAATTTTTGCACATTTTTGTGAAAAATCCTCAAAATATTTTAATTTAAATATTGCAGTTTTATATTATTAAAATTCGAGAAAATGATAACAATTGTAATTAGCTTTAATCTAAAACAAATCGCGAAAAAATATGTAAAAATGAAACACGCATTTATTGGCCATTATTTCTAGTTAAAAAAAAAAAAAAAAAAGAAAACGTGAAATATATTTCACGTGAAATATATTAAACAATAATAAATATTCGATAAATAAGGGAAATGCATGAGTTTCGATTTTATCTTTCGCGAAATTGTCTTATTAATTGAAGCTAATTACAGTTAATGGTTATTTTCACAACTTCTAATAATGGTATGAAGTTGCAATATCTGAAATATTCAGATTGAAATATTTTCTAAATCAATAATTTTTTAATATAAATAGAAATATTTTCTTATAGAAAAATAAATCGAATGCATTAAAAATTATATCGTTTTATTATAAAAGAAAAAGTTGATTTTAAAATCTTCTCCATTTAACTTACAAAAAATGACCATATGATCTTTTTGAACCAAATAACTTTTAAACATTTTTTAATAATTTCAATTTCTTATGATATTATAGTTTTCACTTAAACGAAATATCTGTTTTTTGAAATTCTTATTAAATTCTTATCTTATATTGTATCAGAAATTTAGTCAAACTTAACAAAACAAAATTATTATTTAAAAAATAAAAATTAAATAATTAAAAAAATATAAATATAATAAATATAATTATTGTAATTATTATAATTAAAAAGGAAAATATAATATATTTAGATGTAAATTATATATATATTTCTATAATATAATTAAATATATATATAGATTTTATTAAATATAAATATATAGATTGTATTAAATATTTTATTAAATATTTTATTAAATATTAATAAATATTAAATATAGATTTGTATAAATATATATACATAAATTGGATATTGAAAATTAAATTAGTCAAATTAGAAAAATTAAATATAATTAATATAATATATTTATTATATAATTAATATAATAAATATAATAAATATTAATAATGATGATATAAAAATAATTAATATGATGATTTTATGTATAAATAGAAATAAAACAAAAAGTACAAAGATAATTTTTAATTTATTCAATTTGTATATTTTTATTTTAATTTTTCATATTTGATAATTTATTTAAAACAATTATTTAATATAAAATAAGTAAAAAATATTGGGAATAAAATTATTTTAAATATTGCTAAGATTATATAAATGAAATTATAAGGAAATGAGATAAATTCATATTTTAAGATTACAACAATTTAAATAGAAAAATAAGATTAAATTATATCAGCTTTGTTATAAAAACATTATATGAATTTAAATTTTATTTTTTTATTAATTCTAAATTTTATTATTATTTAAATAAAAAATTATTTAAACAAATAAAAAATTCTCTATCTAACAAACACAAAAAAAAATGTATTTTATCGCTTATTAACATCACAATACATATAATTTCGAATACAATAATGTAATATCGAGTACGATTCTTGTTTTAATTACAAAATATTTATCGTTAATCTTCTGCTTTTTAAATATAAGTTTAAACTTTTATTTCGATTATTGATAAGAATTTTTGTAAATATATATTAATATTTATATAATATTATACATTAATAACGATTTTTTCATTCTGAAATTATTATTTGTTTACATAATATCAAAGAAATTAATATTTCTTTTAAATATCAATAAATTTGCAGTTTATAAGATATCATTAGTAACAATATTAATTTACGATTTACAAATTTTGATCAAATGAAAAAGTAATATTAATAATTAAAATGCTTTAAATGACGATGTAAATATTTCTTTATAGATAAAAAATAAAAAGTGATCAATATTTATAAATTTATTTTTATTCAATTTTATTTTGATATTTTATTATGAATATCTTCATTTAATTGATATATATTTGCTAAATTATATATGCTAAATTATTTTGAAAACAAATTACTATATTATTTATTATATCAAATTGTACATGATTTTATATTTAAGATATTAAAAGTTCAATTTTAATTTTTTCAAATTTTATATTATCATTTTCATATTATCATTATATTTAAATAATATGAGAAAGATTTAAAATGACTTAAAAAATGTAAAAATAAATTATTTTATTTAATTTATTATTAAAAGTATTTATATATTAAAGTATTAATATATTAAAAGTAAATACAAGTTTTAATAATAATTTAATAATAATAGAAAACATGATAATGAAATGAATTCAATTCTTTTATTATTAAACATTTTATAATATGGAATTTAGTATTTTATTAATTATTCTAAATGACAATTAATTACATAATATTGAATATGAGTTTATAAGGAAAAAACTTCAAAAATTTAAAAAATTATGAAACTTATATGTAATGCTTATGTAAATATGTATTACGCAATTTTTTTTTTACTGTTCGACTTTAAATGGAATTGGGATGGAATTGATCTTTGAAAATTCGATTTTATATTTTTCGATTTTAACTTATAATTCGCAAAATAACGAGATAAAAAGAAAGAAATACAAAGAAAATTTTCAAATAAAAGTTTCATAACTAACTATCATCTAATAAAACATTTATTAATTATTTATACAATTAAAAGAAGTTATAAATAAAAAAATTAATAATTTTTTTAAATTTGTTTTTCAACTTAATTTTGATCAATAGTTTAAATAACTATGCAATAGTATAAAAAAATATTTTTTATTTTTACGAAGTACTTTGTTATGTTATTGATTTTCGATATTATTAAATTTTTAAAAATAGAAAGAAATTTATATATATATTTCTGTTTTTTGTAAACATTGGATCTACTCTACAATATACTAGATGAAAATAGAAAAAAAAGAAACTTAAATGTATAACTATTTTATAAGATCTTTTTATTTAATGTTTAATGTAATGTTATTTAATGTAATGTCAAACTTTTTTATTTTTTTTTTTTTTTTACTTTCGAAAATTTAATAACGAAGGTCAACACAACAAAACTGTATTTATTAAAAACAAAAAATATTTTTTTATAGCATAATTATTTAGATTGCTGATTAAAATTTTACATTGAAAAACATATTTAAAAAAAATTATTAATTTGTTTATAACTTTTTTTTAATTATATAAACAATTAATAAATCTTTTACCAGATATGATTATCCTTATGAAAAGAAACAATTTTTGTCTAAAAATTTTGTCCGTATTTCATTTAATTTGCGAGTTAAAACATAAAATCGAAAAATAGTCGAATTTTTAAAAATTGATTTTACTTCTTGATTTTGGATGGCAAAAAAAAAAAAAATAAATAATATATATTAAGCATTAAATATCTTCAAAATTTCATAATTTTTTAAATTTTCGAGTTGGGGATCTTTCTTTATTGGTAATATTTTAACATTGATAACAGTAACTATTATTTTTAATAAAATTAAATTTAAATAATACGAACTTTTAAATTTGGATTTATTGTATAAATTGAAAACATTTATAAATTATTTAACAGAATTTAATATTTATTGCAAAATTATCGAAAATAATTTTCTTCTCTTAATTTTAAAGTGAAACAGTTTTTTAAAATTGTATATTTATTATTATTTAATGTAATAATTGCATTGAAAATTATAAAAAAAAATGTAAATAAATATATATAAAAAAATAGATATATGCGAATTGCATAGAAATGAATTATAACAAAAATATTAATGTTTTTAATAATAAAGTATGAATATTATGCGTTTTTTTTTTTTAATCTCATTTTTTTCTTATTTTATGATTCTCTAAACAATTGTTTTTTTAAACACAGTATATCATTATATTGCGATATATTATTTTTATTTTGTTCTAGATGAATCTTGTTCTTTAAGACAATTTCAATGTGCAAATGGTAAATGTATACCACTTCCATGGATTTGTGATGGAACGGATGATTGCGGAGATAAATCCGATGAAACTATCAAGAAATGTGAAGGTGAGTGATGAAACGGATATTCAAGTTTATTCACATGTAGAAAAGATAATCGAATGTTTTTAAAAAAGGCGACAAATAAAATGCGATTCGTACAATTTATTTGCGCTTATGTTTATTTTTTCATATTTCATCGATTAAAAAAGTATTATTTGATAAAAAAACAAAATACATTCAATTAATATCAGTTGATAATAAGTTAGGATTGTTAAGCTTGTCTATCAAGTTGCTAAAATTTATACTATTTAAAATTGTTATTTATGATATGCCATTTTATATATCAATGTGATTCAGTATTTTATTTGATTTGAAATCTTATCAAGTTGAAATACTTCTTTTGACTGATTTAAAAAAAATAATAGTTCTTATGTCATGTAATTTTTATTTTCAATTTTGTTTTTGTTAATATAGTTCTTCAAATCAAGTCGACTATTTCCGAATTTTGCAATCAATTATGCTAAACAAATCATTTTTGCAAATATTCTAAAATGATTTTTGTTTTTTTTATTTTTTTATTTAAAAAATTAAATTTTTTAACGAATCTTAATTCTTTGAAAATATAATTTTTTGAAGATAATTCATTTTTTTATTTAAATCGATTGCTTTTTTCGAAATATAATTTTTAATAATTCATTTTTTTCTGTATTTTTAATAATTCTCTTTTTAATATCATTCTCTTTGTTGCTATTTTAAATATGATATTTATTATTTGAAATTGATTGAATTCAAATAACAAAACAAATAAATTAAATTAATATATCAATGATTATTAGTTAGCTTAAATATAGTTATTAGTTAGCTAAAATATACTATATTGTGTTTTCTTATAGCTAAAATAATGTCAAGCTTTATTGTAATGTAAATGTAATGTAAGCTTACTTGTTAGAGATTTTGAGAAAAGAGATTTTTTTTATTTATTTCTATTTATATCATTATTATTTATATACATATATATAATTTATAACACACACACACACACACACGCACGCACGCACGCACGTACGCACGCACGCACGCACGCACGCACACGCACAATAAAATATATTTGAAAATAAATTTTTCAGATTTTTTATTTTATTTTAAAAATAATTAAAAATGTTGATAATTTGATTTATATAAATATGAAAAATAAAATGAAATTATTTAAATTTGAAAGACTTGAATTTTGAAGAAAACTTATAATAATAAATTTTCGAACGTAAGTAGTTATGATTAAATCTAATTTCTTATTTACAAAACATAACTAAATAAATATCAATAATATAAATTTATAATGTAATGATAAAATAATTATAAATAATAAAAATATAATAAAAAAATATAATAAAAATACAATATTTCACAAAAATTTTTATATAATATATTTTATATAATAAATTGTAATATATTTTGTATATATATATAATATATATATTATATAATAAATTATAATAAAAATTGTCTATATTTTTCGATTGATGAAGTATGTTTTTTCATGAGATCTAAAGTCAGAAATTGATTGAATATTTAATTGAGAAATTTAGTAGAAAACAAATATATACTATATCAATTTCGTTATATTTTCTATCATTGTCATAATTTATTTATCATAATTGATAAATGAATTTCAATTAAAATTTTATAATGTTTTTTATTTATTATCTAATTTATGTTAATTATTACTTAAAATAAGTATGATTCCATACTAGATTTTTTATGAAAATAAAAATATCTTTAATATGATCTTGTCTAAAATTGTAAAAAATATGATATGTTTCTTTCAATTGTTTTTTTATTATTATAGATTCTTTGATTGAAAAGAATCATAAGATGAAATGAAATTTGTTGATTATCTTGTTTCGATATAATATATGTTATAATGTCAAGAATAAATATTGTTAATATATCATATTCGTAATGGAAACGTGTAATATATATGAAATATATATATTGTATATATACATATATATTGCTTACAAAATCGAGAATATAAAAATTTAAAAAGTGATTCTAGAAAAACTTTTTAAAACAATGATTGATATGTATATAATATAATTCAATATTAAAGATTATTTTTCAAATCATAAACATTAATTTTACAATAAATGTTGTGAGGTGATTATTTATATACATAGTCTTACATATTTTAATAGAAAAATTATTTTTAAAAATTTCTAAAATTGATAATAATTTCTAAATATTATAATAAAATAGATATTATTATATATTCTTTTCTTTTTATTTATCTCTTATTAAATTCGAAATATAAATTGTCCTAATTGTGTAATTTATCTTAAATTGTAGAGATATAAATTTTTTAATTTAACGATTTTAACACTAGATTTACGGGCATTGACTATATACTTTTTTTTACTGAAATCCGTCTTTTTGACGGATATATTAAAATGCAGTTTTTTGTAAATTATTTATTTAAAATCTATAGATTTTTATTTACTGTTGTTTTCAATTTTTTTATGTGGTTACTACCCAATTCTTCAACTAATTGAAAGAGAAAATTCTTTCAAGATATGTTTATTCTAGTGATCTCTTTATATAATATCCAGACATTGATAGCTATCTAAAAACAATCTAAAAACAATTATAAAACATGATGTTTAAAGAATAATATTTGCATATTCAGAATTTAAGCATAAAATTGAAAACCAATCATATTGAAGGGGCTATCTATGGGATTCTGCTTTCACGGTATTTTCTTCATTATCAGCATCTTTTATTTCACTTTCGCTTTCAGTATCTGAAATAATACGCATTCTTTTTCTTTTACGGTATGTATTGGGATAATTTTCATTCCCATTGTCGTTAGAATCTTCAATTTCGTTAATATTGTCAAATTCTTCCTTGCTTTCACATAATTCGTTTATATCAAAATCCGATTCAGATTAGTCTTCGTTTATGCTTAGTTATTCTTTTTATTCTTCTTATTATTCTTTTTATTAATTCTATATCTTTTGAAAACTTGCCCATAATATCTTTAGCTAAATAGGCAAAATATAAATGTAAAAAAATATATTTTTTTGGATAGATTTTGAAAATATCTTGAAAAATTCAAATTTTCACTTACGAAAATAAATTTTTGCTAAACTTTCAAATAGCATTTATTTTTTTTTTTATAAAACGCACTGTTGAAATTATCTCTCATGTGGATCTATTTGTTTTATAAAATAATAGGATAGATTCACTTACAAAAATCACTTCTTTTCTGCAAAATTCATCGTTGAAAAGATTGTTTGTTATCATATCACAATTGTAAACAATTTGTTTGATCATATATTTATTATTAAACAGTCGTCATTTGCTTGGTATTGTTTTTTTTTATTCATTGTTATTTCATTTTTGTTATTTCGCAATAATTGATCTATATAAATTAACCTGTCAAATTGATGTATTTTCGTAAAAATAGATATACATCTAGAAATAATAAAATATAAATATTCCAGAGAAAATTAATAGAAATGTATATTTACTGCATTATATCATTAAAAACCAATATATAATGTTTAAAGAATAATATTTGCATATTCAGAATTTAAGCATAAAATCGAAAACCAATCATATTGACGGGCTCCGTAAATTTAATTTTTTAGTTTCCATCTTCCATTTATTTGCATAATAGGGTCAATATAAGATTAATGGAATATCAATGAGATTGAATCGTTTGAACCATCAAAAAAAAAGATTCTATAATTTGAATGCAAATAATTTTATTATTAATTATTTGTTATCTAACAATATATTTCTTGTAATTTAAATTATTGATCTAATTATTGCATTATTTTTATTTTTATTATTTCTTTTATATTTTAATAATCATTTTTATTTCATTTTAATTATATTTTAAGTTTTTATTCTATTATTAAGTTATTTTATAAGTTCTATAGATTTTAATTTTTTAATCTTCTTTTCAAAAAATTTCTTGTTTTTTTCAATGAAAAATCTATTTTAACGTTAATTTTTAATTCAATTAATTTGATTAATTATATCAATATTAAAGAAAGTATATAGGATTATATACTTTCTTTATTATATATAATATTTAAAACAATTTTTTAAATAGTACAGAATATCTTTTGCTTTATTTATGTGTGTGCTATATTTTTGAATAACTAAATAAAATAGACATAGCAAATTAGATTAGAAATATTATTAAAAAAATAAATTTTTTGATTGAATTTTTATTTTAATTGAGTTAAATTTTTACTTATTAATATAAAATGATATTGCAAACTTCGATTTATTAAAAATATTGAAGAAAAATGGTAAAGTCTGAAAGAAAACTATGCAAAAAAAAAAACATCGAAAAATAAGATAATATCGTTGAAGGAATTGGATAACAGCTATTCATAGAAGTGAATATTTTTTCTCTATTTAGTTTCTTGAAATATTGATTATTTATACTTTGTTCTTTTTGTAAATTTTTTAATAGATTATTTTTTAAAAACATTCATTAAAACAATCGTTTATTAATATTTGATTTTTTCTTGCAATTCATTTTTTTATATTATTTTTTTAATAATTTTCTACATATTTTTTTTTAAATTTTATTGAATCTTTAACCAATTTAAAAGATGACAAATTAAAAGATGACAAATTTTATGAATTGATATAGACTAACCAATATTACTCAATTTTCTTTTGGACAACTACATTCTTTCGAAACATTTTTATTTTTCAGAACATTGCTGTCATCAATATGTACGTAATTTTTTTTATAAAAATCTTTAAGTAAAATGGAATAATAACTTAATTATGAAATTAATTAAAAAATGAAAAAAACTTATATAATATAATCGATACCCTAAAAATAATAAAATAAAATAAATACTAAAATAGATATTCTAAATTCATATTTGACGAATTTCGTATTATTTATTTGTTAATAAATCATAACATTTCAATGCATTTACCTGAAATTATATCTTCATATCTTAATTTTTAAACTTGTTTGTTTAGTTTGCTTGTAATTTACAATCTAAACTATATAGTTTAAATGATGTATAGTCTAA